ACTCCATTATTTGAACGCCAGTTAAAAAAGATCGTGATTTATGCCGCGGAAATGTCAATGGAGCCAACGCAACAGTTGTGAGTTCTGTTTTTGCTAACGGCTGTGTGTAGCAACCTTCGATTAATAGATTCACCTTGTCTCGTTATCCATCGGCAACCGTTACATCTTCATTTTCACCTTCAATGCACACTTCTTCGCTCGGATCGCCGAGGCAGACGCGTCAAATAGAGTTTCCAATGTTTCCGATTCAGTAGCAGACTCCAAGTTTCGGCAGAGGTCAACTGGAGTCTGCTACAGACTTCTACCATCTATTTGCAACAAGTTAATCTTGGCCGTATGCCGGGCCTTCTGCCGGTAGGTTTCGCAAGAAAAAGCGACTTAGACTTCTTTTCTGGAGGCATTCGCAATACATGCCCAAACCGTCGCAGCTGCGACTTATCAATCTGGAAAAGCAGACAGTACACAAACGCTCTAAAGATGTAACTCTTCGGGATCATGTCGAGACGCGTAGAACCAGCGACCCGTGTAAGAAAGCCCATTTCAGCACCCGGGTTCGAAGCTTTCCAGACATAGTCCACGACTCATGACCGTAGGTACGCATGGGGATAAAAATCGACTTGAACACAGAGAACCTAGTTTTCAGACTGTGCTCCGATTTAGTCACAATGGAACGAGCTAGTACGCGCAGAATGCCACTGATTACTTCAATTCGCCTGTCGATCCGTTCCTCAGATTTTCCATCACAAGTAAATAAGACTCCGAGGCACTTTAACTTCTGCACCTGCTCCAGTGCCTCTCCACTAATCCGAAGAGAGCAACGGGCAGGAGACAGACAAAGCAATTGGCTTTTCGTTTCATCTGCGTTTACACGCAAGCCGGTCACGTCGCACTCGCATGCAAACTTTCATAGGGAGCACTGAAGATCAGTTCCAGAAGACGCCAATAAAAGCAGGTCGTCTGAAAACAGCAACTTTCTCGACTTAACACCTTAACACCGATATACTCATCTTCTTGGCTGCTCCTGACTATTCTCTCAATGTGCAACACAGACAATAGAGATCTTCCTGTATCTTGGGGTCAACTGCTCCGTGGCACCTCTTTTGTAATAACTTTGCGTAGACTTTACCTGTGAGGCTCAATAAGGTAATGCCCCTATAATTTGAGCATTTGTTGTTGCTTCCCTTCGTGAATAAGGTATAATAACTCCCGTTCTCCGGTCTGCCGGTGTCTTCCCCGCAGTCATCGCTGTTTCGCAGCACATGAAAGAAAGTACATGTCTTGTTCGCCGAATTCCTTGATAATTTCAGGGCGTATTTCATCAATTCCAACAGTCTTTCCATTTTTCAAGCTTTTCACAGCGTGTGTAATTTCATCTACAGAGAGTGCAATATACTATCTCTGTTGCTCTAGAGGCGAGTATTCCTGCGGTTATCTGAGGTTAATGAGTTTCTCAAAGTACTCCCTCCATCTCCGAAGAATGTCATCATTCTTTATAAGAGGGTATCCATGCCTGTCCTTCAAGACTCTTTGACTCCGCTTCTTTTCACCTCGGAGCCGGCGGATGGTCTGCCAGAATACCCTGTTTGCCGTGTAAAAATTCGACTCCAACAACTCACCGAACCTCCCCCAGAAACCAGCTTTGGCTTTCGCCGCTGCTTTGGCTGCCGCCTTGCGTGCCTCGACATATCGCACGCGTGTAGATGGCTCCTTGTTTCCAAGCCATTTCTTGAACTCCTGCTCTCTCTCTTTAACTGCCAGTTGTACCTCCACCACGTAGATCTGTTCTGACCTCCAAGCCTGTTTAAATTTGAAGCAATCGGCGGCAGCCTCGAGTATACCGCTCTTAAAGAGTTGCCAGTCGGTTTCCATATCAGTGGTCATCACCGGGTTCTATTCAAACCTTCGGGCAATGCAATTTGCAAATTTCGCTCTCGTGTTCACCTAAGGTAATGTTTCCCATTTGATTCTCCGGTTGCTTCTGCCACCAGATCTTCGTATGGTACTCCGTTTCTTACAGCGTAGCGTGCTAACAATAAGGTGATGACTGGTTGATAGCTTTGTCCCTCTCTTAACGTCAACACCCAATACTGAGCGTCTTAAGTCTGACGATACGGTTATGAAATCGATCACCAACTTATGTGCAGAAGATTCCCAGTACCAGGAATACTGATACACTCTTCAATGCTTGAAGAAGGTGTTCATAATGGACAATACGTTGTTTGCACAAAACCGCAGCAACTTCATACCGGTATTGTTGAGATCGCAAGTGTCGTTTTTTTCCAATCACGCCGCTCCACTTTTAACGCCTACTCCGATATGTGAGTGAGTATCAAGAAGTCTGTATTCGGCATTTCGGACAGAGCACTTCGTCGAAGAAGGCATCATATTCTCCCTCCAAATTTGACGCATAGACTTGTACCCAGGTCGTCGCTTCGGCCTGTTGTTGCTTCGGTCGGAGGATTACCACCCTTCCGCTGACAGGCTTCCATTCAAGAATTCAATTTGCGAGGCTGGGTTCTTCGAGAACAGCAATACCTGCCTGAGCGCGAGTCGTGATATCAACACCTGAGCATAATATCTTTCACCCGCAGAGGTTCAGCTTTCCAGAGCTTTGGC